ACAATTTTCTAAAGGAAACAAAGCTTCAGGACCGTGTGAGACCCAGAAGCAAAGAAAACCTTCTCCAGCTCACATGAGAGTGGCGCTCTAAGGCAGAGCTCAGTGAAGCATGGCAAGTCTGGCCTGTTGCCTGTCTCTGTAAATAAAGCTTTATTAGGACCAGGCTGTGCACACTCATTTCCACACAGCTGTTTTCACACCATCAGCAGAGTGGCCCGACTGTGACGAAGTCTGCGGGGCAGCGAGGCCTAAACTTTTACCACCTGACTCTTTACAGAACGACGTGCCAGTCCTTCTGCTAGGGAGCCCATGAACATGGCAATCTTTACTAAGGGAGACAATCAGAAGTAATTACGATAGCCAAATTTGTCAAAATAACACCATATATTTCCACCTGTATGTTACACCTGGAAAATGAATTGATATCCCTTTGAAAATTATCTGCAAGCTTATGTACTTCAGAAATGCAATACTATGCACTAAAACCCATGCTATCCTGTTACAGACCCCACTGAAAATGAGGACGCAAGTCATAGAATCATTTATGAAGCTAGCGCACTTTTCCAATTAATTTCTCTCAGCTGCGGCTCTTCTACTTGGCTTTTCATGCATAACACAAATGTACTGAATAAATCTAATCATTACTAAATATATTCTATACTAGTATTCTCAACTTTAACAGAGGTAAGAAAAAGTATACACATTAGATCTGCAATTCACAAACGGTCCAAATCTTTTCTCTTTCTTAGATCACTTGAGAATGTGAATATAAGCATTACGCGTCTGCCCTAATAAGAATATTTGGGCCAACTGATATTGCAGTAAAACTGCAAATATCCAATGAACAATGTAATTCTTTTCTCAGATAAAACACATTTTTGTATATATGATCTTTTTACCAATGCAAAGATGTATTTTATGTAAACTATAAAAATGTTTATAATATTTATATCTGAAGTTATAAAACATAATTATTATGTTTTGCCTATCAAATTAAGGGAATGTGGAGTAACAGTTCATAATATATTCACCTCCAAATAGCCTGTTGATATATATCATTTCAACTTACCCTTTTTGCCTTCAAATACTTAAATAACTATAGGTTAATTCTCTCCTATAATATTTATATAAATTTGGGATTTAAGCTTTGTCTCTTCAGGTGAAGAATATATATAATTTAAAAGCCTTTATGCGAATGAGCACACAGCCTTTAACTGTAAAAGGTCTACTTGTGAAGTCAAGGTTGAAGGGTGAAACGCACTTAGTAACTGAAGTGCGCGCTGTCTTTGCACAGGTTGGAGTTTCCATTCCCCATGATGAACCATCTCAAAAACACTCTGCTGGTCCCTGGGAGCGCAGGATGGCGCTGTGCAACTGCCTCTATGCCTCAAAACCACAAGCCATTCCCACGGCTTAACACGATGCAGGTGTAGAAGGAAGAGTGGCTGCACCACAGTCACGATCCCAGGGCTGGTGGCCAGAGACCACCACTGTCCAGCTCTGCTGCCACTGATGAACACACCGACATTATCTTTCTCGCCCTATACTGCCCGGGGGGGGGGGTGTCACAGTGAAACTATCAAATGAGATCTTATGTACAGAATGTATAATTAATACAAACAAAATATATACGTACAGATTATTTTCATTCATAGAGAAGCACATGCTACTAGTATGACTCACAGCTTGTGGCTGGACTGCCTTTGTACATCTTCAAATAATGTATACGTGTAAAAACTTGCTGTGTTTTGAACTACAGACTTCTTCAAACCAGGCAGCCTGAGCTGCAGGGAAAAACGGGCTCCTCCCACCCCCCTTTTCTGGCTCCTTCAACAGTATATCCATGAATGACATCACGGACAACTGCAACTTCAGGCAGCAAATAAACAACTGATGAATGCACAAAAACAATGGCCAACAGCTCCCAGAATAAAATGAATAAACTTGCTTTAATTGGATAGAAGCAGAACAGAAGTAGAATTGTTTTTCTGGGGTAACTCTAGGCCATTTAAAGCTAATAGTTCTCACACGCCGCAAAGAGCACCTCTGCCTAGCTGCTTTCCTCCTGCCCTGTGGACGGGACAAAATGCCCAGAAAAAGGCTGCCAGTGTCCCCGTGCAGGCAGCTGCCTAGCAGAGAACGCGCGGGCCCCTCTCCACGTCACTGGCGCCAAGCGAGCACAGTGGGCACCAACAGGCTGGGCTCCGGCGAGTCCAGGCCGGGGAACAGCATTTCCTTTCTCTCTGGTTTACATAAAAAGGTGCACTAAAATGTATGTCGACATTTAAACTCCTCTGCCGCTGATGAGAGAGATTCACATACAAATAAAGCACTATTTATTGAAATATCAGTAATGAAAAATGGGAAGTGCCACGTTACCAACTATGTAAAGTTCATTTACTCAAAAGGAAAAGAAAATAGGGAAGTGGAGACCAGAAATCCACCTCGGTGTGTCCTCCTCCCCTCCCCCGCCCACACTGGTCCTGCCGCCAGTGTCAGGTGACCAGTGGGCACTCACACAGCGCACAGTCATATTAAGTTACCGCACATGCCCTTTCAGCCCAAATGCCAGAGTGTCTATAATGTTACTCATTGAACTGGAGTCTAGGCAGAGTCAACTTTCTGAAGAATAAGTTCTTGAGCCTTGGCAGAGCTTAAAATGGCAAGGATCTTGAAGACATTTTCAAATGTTCATAAGCTGGGAGGAGTTTCACACACTGGGGACCCAACCCCAGGATGCCTGGGACAGGCAACAGCCTCGGGACACTGCGAAGGCTCCTGGGGAAATTTACTTGAGCAGGCAGGCTGGAAGGCAGGACCCCAACCTCTCCTGCAGGGTCCAGCAGGGTGTGATGACTTGCCCAGGCCACCAGCTGTTAGGTTCAGAGCCAGGACAAGCCCCCTGCTCCTGCCTCTCAGGCCCAGGGACACAGGCCAGAGACCCCGCAGGGCTGAGTGCACCGTGCTCTGTGTGGGAGGGACACTCCAGGGCAGGGGGACAGGGGCACAGACTCGCCTCCCACCTTTCCTCTTCACCAGCAAGAAGGAAGCTCTGCGAAAGAACAAACACCTGCAACAACCGAAACATACAGTTTCCCCGAACTGCTATGGGAAGGGGACAAATGATCAATTACTTACAAAGAAAGCATTTCTTATTTTAAAAGCAAGTTGGACTGTGAGAGATTTACACAGGCACTTTTCCAGCTTTCTCAAAGCCGTGCATGAGTCCTTGAAGACTTTTCAGAATGGATTTAAGAGAGATGTACCTTTCTAACCACCTCATTAGTAATCAAAGTGACAAAACTCAGGATCCAGCAGATGTACACTTAATATGTAATAATGATAGGCCACATATGGCAAACTTAATAAATTCTCTTCCAGGAAAATATCACTCAGTGATATTCCATCCCAGGAAATCAATCTGACCATTTAAAAATTGTCAGTTGTATAATTTTGTCATACTTAGTATATATGAATTCATATAAAATAATTATTTCCCTAATTTTCCTTAGAGAACAAGAGGTCATTTTACAATTTCTACTCCAAAAGAACAACTACCAATACAGTTGAAACAAATAACTAAAGGATCAGGTCCTCATTCTTATCTTACCAAAATGGATAAGCTTTTTTTAAGGCCTTTTATGTATACCATCACTTTTCTACATATTTCAGAAAGACTAAGTCAAATTGAGCCTAAATTCTAAAGATGGATCCAAACATTCTACCAATTTTTTAAATTATGCAAGCTACAAATGACTGTGCCCACCTGGCTGGAGTCCTTTAATAAATGTGCGTTTTCCATACCAACAGGCTAAGACATCAGGGTCCTCTAGTTTCGACACCCTGGCCTCTGAATTCCCTCCATCAGTGCTTTCCTAGTAAGCCAGAATTTCTAAGAACCACATGGAATAATAAATTATCCGTAAATTTGCTACTTTCTACCATTTTAGTTTCCAGATTAGCCAAAGAATGAAATGGGTCTGTTTCACAAGGCTGCATACAGCAGCCTGCCGTGCAGCGACTGCTGGGGACGGGGACCCAGCCTCCAGGGGAGTCGGGAGTAAGCAGAGTCAGCTGTGGTTGCTGGGAGCCGGAGAGGCCTTCTTTTCCAATGAAGGCACTGTGTTGCCTGGAAGACAGACTCAGGCGGCGACAGGCCTACCAGGAACACACCTCTCTCTAGACTGGGAAGGTTCCTCCAACAGCAGGGGCCAGACCCATGGCTGGGCGGGCACACTGCTCACTGTCTCTGGGCCTCAGGTTTTTCATTAAAAAAAATAAGGGTAACAACAAGAACCTATCCTTTTAAATGTTTTATAAATGATAAAGTACTACACAAATATAAGCTTTTAGCATAAAGCATGTCATTCCTGAACTCCTGTACTTTCATTTGGCTATGTTCCTTATCCTGGAACCCCAGGCAATCCCTGCTCCAGGGCCTTTGCACTGCTGTTTATCCCCTTTGCCTCTTGGGATTCTCCCTACTGCTTCCTCCCACCTTCAGGCTGTGTGGCTCAAATGTCACCTCTCCCTCTCCCCAGCCCTGCTTCAGTCTTCTACAGTCTCTGTCACCACCTGCAATTCCTTGTGTCCTGAACGCACATCGCAATTAAGTTTACTGCCTACGTTTCAGAAGCAGAAAGCTTACTGAAGACTTCCCACTTCTGTTTTTCTTTTTAGCTTGAAAAACCAAACCCATTCCTTTCTAACCTGTCCTTTAATATTGTTCAAATGGAAGAAATATTTCTGAAGTATTCCACATGGAATAACTGTTGTCTTTGTAAAGAAAAAAAGAAGCTGGAACTTAACAAGTGTCTAAATTTAGACATTCAAGTGAGATCTCATCCTTTCTGCCACCATCTCTCCTGCCCCCTGACTTTCTACCTTCCTTAAGCAGCCTGTAAGTGAAGTTCCTGTCGTTTTTTATTTCGCTTATTGTTTTTTTTTTTCTGGAAAGAACAGTAAAACGTGGTGAAAGGTAATTACGACAGGAAACTCACCTGCTACAGACTCCCACCTCAGCCTGACGGGCTGGTGACACAGAGCTGCCCGGCCAGGTGGGGTCTCTCTCCTCCACCCACCCCGGCCACCGAGGCAGATGGCAGGGGGGCCGAGAGCAGAGCGTTTTCAGAGCAGCAGGCAGCACTCTGAGCGCTGGGGGGTGCCGGTGGCAGGGAAGCCTCCCTTGCACAGGAAGTGAAGGGGGCTTTCCTGGATAGGTCATGGATGTCTGTAAAAAGGATGGGATAAAGGATTTTACAAAAGGCTTCTGATACGCCTACACAAACACACATATATAGCCTGTCTGCGAGAGGTGTGTCTGGAGAGATCACCACCTTATCTGAAACTTCCCAGGACAATGACAATTTTTAAAGCACTTTTGAAGCATAACATTAAAAAAAGAACTATGATTATTTCAAGTATTGGTGGCTAATTCACAAAAAACTATTCAACTGCACCTCAATCTTTACATTTTTATGGAGGGGCACAGTTGTATGCAAGCAGCAGCACCAAACACCTTCTGAATGTGAGCTTTCTCACAGGTGTATCCAGGAAGGCAGAGGAAAAAGTCAGGAAAAGAAAGGATGATTTCAAAGAAGTAACCCCCTGCCCTCTGATTAAAGAGGGGGTATCCTTGTCGAGCAACAGTGACGGTAAGCAGAGAAGAATCAGAAAGAGTCAGAAAAGGAGAGCAAAACCCTAACAACTGGGCAGTTTCTTGAGGACCACCATATACAGCACAGACTGGGCACAGAAGAAATGCCAGAGAGTTTGGAGGTGAAGCTGCTGAGAGGGCAGGGCAAGCTGATGTCTAGGAATTGCGCTGACAGCGAAAGCAAAGCTGTGGTTCTTCAGAGAAGAAAACTTTTCCAAAAACACCACCTCATTGGATGCACCCAAGTGTGCATGTGGAGGGGGACAGAGAGGGTGTAACGTTTGAGTGGTCCCATCAGAATTCTCTGGCAAAGACACCCACACTCCCATCAGGGACACCCCATTCTTTGTGGCTAAGAATGCCTGAAGGGTGGGCACCTATTGAAAGGGTCCAAGTGGCTGTGCCACAACAGCCCTTGGTGGGATGATGCCCAAGGTGACTACAAGGGCACCCAAAGGACAGAAACGTTGTTTCATATTTCCTCCCTATCTCTCAGAACATCTACTCCTGTGTTGGCACATACTGAACTTTCAATAAATGGATTGGCTTAAAATGTCAAATGTGTTCTGCCTTTTTTGGAAATGGCTAAAGACCCAGTGAATTCTGAACTGGAGTCACAAAGAAGAATGCTTATCACCCAAAGTAGTTCTAAGGACTTAATTAAATGCTGCATGCCAAGAAAACGTGGATATTTCATTGCAGTGATTATTTCATTTGGAACAAGGACCATTAATAAACCAGCACTACTGATAAACTAAACTGCAAATAATAGTAAGACAGAAAACTGAACCAAGGACAGCTGATTCTACTGCATCCTTACAGTTTTAATCTGACCCCACATACCAAAATGTCATCATACATGGAAGCTACACAGCCTTTCAGAGAAAACTCTCACTTAAAAAACGTATCCAAACAAAATATTAATGCTTGAAAATTTACATTATAATGGTTTGGGGCAGTTTTCATATCTAATATTTCCACATAGTTCATTATTAAAGTTTTAATTTTTTTTTTTTTTGCTTTCTTAATCAGCTCAATTATAGTTTTCGGAAACTGACTGCAATTAAAATAAACTTACACTTCTGGATGTATAATACTCTAAAGGAGAAAGAAAGGCTTTGAATTTTTGTAACTAATACACTTTGCTAAAGCCTACCTATTTTCAATTGAACCGTACATTTATTAGACATGTATTTGACAATGTAACAAAAGTTCTTCCTAGAAGTTTCACCAAACTCATTTAATAATTATAACTGGAAAAGGGTTTGGGTAGCTTATGGATTATTTTTGTTTCCATTGCATACGTTAAGTGTTATACAGGAAGAAAATAAAAATGAATAACTACTATCATATGACAATGAAACAGAAACAAATCACTTTAGTAACTTATTTTTTACCAAATGTACCCAGGTGTGGTGTGAAACACTGCCCACTACCGTCTCCCTCTGCAGCACTTGCCGCTGTGCAGGAAGTTCAGGACTCTGCAAAGTCCAGGGCGTACCAGGAGCCCAGAACCTCCATTTCTGACCCCTCCAAACGAAAACAAGCTGCTCAGCACACTCTAATCCATGACTTGTCTAACCCTGCTTATTGCCTGCAGTTTCTAAAGTATTATTTGCATGTTTTTTAAATTTAGTAAGGATATCCTGGTCTATTTCCAAATCTTTCCTCCTTGCTGCACAAGTCTCCTCATCCGCCCAGCCACTGGGGGCATCTTTAGTCTTGAACAAGGAAAGCCCCAAAGAAGCCCCACCCCTTGAGCTGGGCCTTGGCAGGGTGGCTGGTGGCCAAGGCGTGCGTAACTCAGAAGATGGGACCATGGGTGGCTTCTCCCACAGAGCTGTAAGTCTATGCGATCAAACGGTCCCTGCCTTCAGTCCCTATTTCCAGTGGCTTCACAGCACTGGACAATACAGGTGAACACACACTCCCCAGGTCCTCTCCGGAAGGCAACGTTCACAGGAGGATTCAAACCTTGCTCAGGAAGATTTTTGAGTCATTTATGAAGACTCCTTGCACAGCCCATCAGAATCTTTACTCCTGTTAGTTTTTCTAACTAACCTGATAAGTTAGTTAGAAAACCCAGTACTGCGAGACAGGGCATTCTGACCTTGACTTTCTTCTAAACCTGAGAGAAGTCTCATCACTCCCTTTATCCCTGCTAGAAAAAGCATTCCCTACTCTGTGTGTCCTGTGAGGCGGTCTCCGACCACCGGCCTGCTGTCTGCTGGGCTGTGTGCTCAGGTGTCAGGCGCTGGCTCCCAGGCTGCCACCTGCTAGGAAGGAAGTATTGTCCTCTCAGGTGCTGAAGAGACAGCCAGCTCATGCAAACAAAACACTGGGTCACCCACAGGAGCACAAGGTCACATAATCACCTACTACCTTTCTAGAAACATGGATATCTTATGAATTTTTATACGTCTACTAAAGTATTCCTTTATGCTTTTGAAAGTGAGGTTACAGTCACGTCATTGGAAAGGTGGCACCTTCTGTCAAATTAAATCTGTACGAAAACCATTTCTCTTTATATAAAAATCTCAACTCCCCAGAAGGTAACCTCCTAGCATCAACTGATTAGTTACTCATTGGTCCTTAGGCAAATTCTAAATTGGTTCGTTTTCAAATAAACTCATCATTACATAGGTTAATGACTCATTTCTTAGGAAACTGTTAATGCACTCATTCATAATGGGGAGTATATGATATTTCGCTTATAGAACAAACACATCTTAAAGATGCATAAAGCAGCAGTGAAAACGCCCCCTGACTCATAGCCACTGGGCCAACAGCCCAGGCTGGACCCACCTAAAAGAGCAAGGACTTAAACTGCCAGAGAATAGAGGTCTTTAGATTCGAATTATCCCAAGAATTTTCTTTTCTTTAACAAGTGAGTACATGATTTTAAATATTTGCCAAATCTTCACTCTCCTGCCTCTTTGGGACACACTGCTGCCATGGCCGTGAGCGGCCTCGGTTCCCTGATTCACAACACACTTCCCTATTTAGGGATTCTGCATTTTCTGTTTCCGGCTTCCAGGGTACTTTTTGGTCTATGTATGAAACAATTTACTAAAATGTCCCGATGCAAGGAGACCGGCACCACTTCCATGAATGCTAAGTTGCTCTAAAGGAAATCAGCTGTGCCCTGGGAGACACGCCACTGTTCCTGTCCCATTCTCCTGTTCTTTCTCGATAATATTTACAAACTATTAAATGGGCGACCTTGACTAAGACGCCGGACCTCTCTCAGCCTCTGTTTTCACAAGCTTAAACTAAGTAAGTTACTTTATATCAATAGTATCCAACTCTTTACCCTCAAAACGCCCTTGTATTTTTTTTCTGATTGTCACCACAGGGAGTTGAAAGAGTTCTAATGTATCTGGTGTTGGTGGGGGAGGTATCTTATCAAGTATAATACACAGTTTGCTTTACTAAAACATATTTTAAAGACAGCTGCAGGGATGTAAGTTTTCCACTTTGTAGACTAACAGAGGTCAGGAAACACAGCTGGAACCCCCAGAACAGGTGATCCACCAATAACTTGATTGTCAACTCTAAAATTCAATGGCAACTGGAGAGCCTTGAGAATAATATCAAACCCTAAGCTCTTCACACTGGCAGGTATAAAATCTGGTAAAACAAAAACAAAAAAACACAAACACAAAAAGAAAACAGAAAAGCAACAGAGGGTTGTCCTACAACATTCAGTCTTCCTCCTTTACTGGACCCATTTTACTTTGAATTAATACCACAATACCATGTGGAATAAAAAAGAGGGAAATTAAGTAACTGCCACACAAGTATATTGACAACCAATATGTTAAATATGAGAGCTGCCCATGGCAAGGATTACAGTAAAATCGTAATGTACCTATTTTATTAATGTATGAGTTTCCCAAATAGACAATATTAGGTAAGTACAGAGAACTGGGCTAGGGAACCAAAGGCATTACCAGGTTGAACTCATCACTCCTCCTTTGTGCTCTGCAAGCCAAGTCACTTGGCCACTCTAAGCTACAGGTTCTTTATTCTAAAAAATGGGGTTCACGGTGGTTCTGCCTACATCATAAAAATTTTTAAAGTACTGCAAGATATTATATGTATGATGTCTTAACACCATGATGTGAAGAAAAAGACTTTTTGAATTTTACATGATTCTTTTTACCCAAAGAGGAAAAAGGGGCATGCAATTATCTGTCAATATTAATCAGAACAATGGTTACATTTTCACTATATCTAACTTCAACAGCATTCTTTCAAAATCATTATTTGTCCACCAAGTTGTGCGACTGGTAGTTATATGTTAGAGGCAAATGATTGACTTATTTAAGTCTATAAAATGCATACAGATAAGTATTCTATCATATTCATAAATATTAAAGATTATGCATTAATACTAAAGAATGAGTCATTCTTAACATATGGATTGTAAGGTAACTACTAAAACCACAGAATATAATAAACTATTTCATAATACTTATTTTTACACACTGAAAAAACCTGAAATTTAATACTACTCCACAATAATTCACTCAAGCATTTGTATCAATTCCATAGGGATAGATTAAAGTAAC